CCCGTGCGGAGGCTCTCGGGGTGAAACCACCTAGAGGCACCGGCGGACGGCGGCTTGCCGGGATGGCCGCCGGCGGTGAGGGGGGTCCGTTTTCCCTTCCTTTCCCTCCCACCGCTGTTTTTCCCACACGGGGAGACCTGCCTCCGTGAAGGCCCGGCCCTGTGCTCCGCACGGGACTGGCTCCGGGAAAGCTGCTGGGAGCAGCAGGCGGTCGCGCACGCACGCGTAGGTGCGTCCCCTCGGGAGAAGGAAACCTGAAGGGCTTGGAGCTGGAGGCTGCTTTCTGTTGGGGGCTGAAACCCGCAGCTGGGGTGCGGTCGGCCACCTCCAGTTCGAGTTTCCGCTTGGGAAAGCGACCGTCCATCTCCCTAGGAACAGATCTGCCATTGCTCCTGCCCCCGCTCAACCTCACGGGGTCTGATGGAGTGGCAGGGCTGGGGGATGGAGAAAGAAGGGATGGGTGGAGAGGGGTTTTGGTTCAGCCTCCCAGCAGGCTCCGAAAACGGGGAAGAGCGTCCCTTCAAGCACCTCGAGCCCCCAGAGCTGCCCTGCCTGTCTCCTGCCTGCCTCCTGCCTGCCTCCTGCCTGCTCAGCTTCACACAATAGCCCAGCGCCTGTCAGTCCTCGCTCCTGGTTCCAAAACGCAGTCTGAAGACTCAAATTTAACAAGCGCTATCTTAATCTCCCCTCTCTCCCTGTGGTCTGGAGGGATTTTTCTTTTTTTTTCTTTTTTTTTTTTAAGCATACACAAGAGATGAATTACTGCAGGGATCTAATTGGCCTTGTTTCTGTTGGTTGGTTTTTTTTTTCCTTAAGGAAGAAGTGTCAGTGTAAAAGTCTCCACTTGGGTGGTCAGAGCAGTGGCTGCCCCCAGTTTGCTTCCTAGCTGATGCTTGAGTGCTACATTCCTGGTGATAATGTTGTTCCCAATCAATCTGCCCTTATTTACATTTGTAAGCACTGCTGGCTGTGATATGCATGCCCTGTGTATGCAACTGCTTGTCCACACCAAGGGCTTTTTCCCATCTTCAGCAACTCGCAGGGATCCCATAGATTTCTTATCTCGGGCTTGCTCTGTGGTGAAGGCCTGGGAAGGTGCCTCCTCGCGCAGGGTGGCTGCAGTCTGCAACCCTTTATACCTGGTCCTCCCGATTCCTGGACAGCCAGGGCCGGCATACAAGAATCTCGGGGCTTCGGTCATAGGAGCTTCATTTTGTAAAGCTCTGCCTCTTACTTAGGTCACCTTTGTGCCCGTAACCCCCAATACTGCAGAGCTCCACGCTTCCTCCAGCCAGATGAGGGATCAAATCCAACAGAGGTTGACAATGGGTAACAGGTATTTACGCCGATTTTACTTTAACACGTTTTTCCAGGTTGCTCATCGCCCGTGGACACCCCACCAAAAAGCATTGCACTGCTGGAGCATCTGATTACCTTAATAAAGAAAGGACACTTCCTTCTGTAGGGGCTATGAGAGCTGACCGCGGCGGAAGAAGGACTTGCGGGAAAAGAGCCCGGTTTTGTCTATTCTCTCCAATTCTTGTCTCTCGTGGCGCAAGGCCGAGGGTCCGCCTCGGCCCCTTGCCCCACACGCACGCCTGCCGCCGGCTTTGGCGCCAGGTGAGGCCCACAGGGCAGCACCTCCGCTGGGCTTTGCAGAGCAGCCCGAGCCTCTCCGCCTCCGCTGGCCGCGGCCCGCTTG